TGCTGTCTTGAAGATGAAGCGCAAACTAAAATTAATTTTCTCTACTTAGAAGGATTAACAGATAACACATAGAGTAAAATTATATACAAAGCTCGAATTAAAATCTATCCAAACACGTGGCTCCGTGAACTTCATGGGCTAATTATCTGCTAAGTAACGGCCAAATAAGGAACTCGCCAGATCGAGAGTTTATACATTCGAGTCGCCTAAAACATATATAGGTTTGCTTTACCGAGACGATTGATGCCAGTTCCTTCTTCTTAGCTTAGATTTTTGTTTAACTTAGATTCTGCTTAAAACTCTGCTTATTTACATATTCTGGTGGAAGCAAATCGAGCAGTAGCAATATGAGACAGATTTTGAAATAAACAAAAATGAGAACGATGAAAAGTAGTCATGGAGCTACAGATTAAATATTATAATGTTATTTCTTTAAAAGAAACCTTACATTCCAATAAGAATGCATAGCAATGTTAGCATTACAATTTCTAATATCTTCATTCTCTATTTCCCTGTAACCTGAATTTCTCCTCCTCTGACTGTTTTCTCTGTTATTCTTTACGCTTCTAAACAGTCATAAATAATTAGAGAAGGTGAATGTGCAGCGTACTCAGTAAAATCGTAGACTGAATGTCAGTTCGCGTTTGCTCAACTGTGAGTGGTTAGTTCTTGGATTAGGCTGGAATAAAGTTCAACAGTATGAAAGGTAAGGTTTGACTTGACCTTCGCAGGTAATTTGCGAGGATTTGTCTTGGCTATTAAGATGCAAGCAATCACTATATGTGGGCAAATCCATTTTAAAATTTAGGGAAGCTCGTTTTGCGAATGCATTGAGGAAAGAGGATCTTATACGAACGGTTTTAAAATTTCAGAACCTGGAGCTAAAGCAACAGGGAAGAGGAAATACGTGAGTGGAGATAAAATAATATTTATACATCATCTGTCTAAGTAATAGTCTTATTACCAACGAAAAATTTTAACAATTTATTAGAAAATGCATATTATTTCTAAACGTTTCAATTTGTTACAAGCTATATATTATTACAATAGTATGTTATTAAACTATATATTACACGCAAGCATATTATTATAATATAGTATTACGGTTTGTGAGTCAAAAGAGTTTTAATGTAATCTAAATTGGAAATATCTTCCTAATTTGACAAAAGAAGATTTTCTTTGCGCTTGAAATTTGTATTCTTTCTTTCAAGTTCTAAAAAACTGAATTTCAAACTACCTGTAATAATTTTAAAATTTCATATTATAATATACGTAAATTATACATTGCAATATTTAATAAACTAAAATATAAAAACTATAATTAAGATACAAGAACACGCCGAACAAGTATTAATTTAGAAGTCAAACAACAAAAATTCAGTGTTATATTTTCAAATTTTCACAGGATTAACCACATTTGCGCTTTTGCAGCTGAGGATGATGGTTCGGTAAAACCATCGAAACTAGTCCTGTGAAAATTTGAAAATATAACGCTGATTTTTGTTGTTTGACTTCTAAATTAATATAAAAACTATTTAGAAAACTCCCTTAGATAGGAGCGATGGAAGAAAAGTAGCGAATATCTGCTAATTTAATCTCAATTAACTACATTAACATGAATATAAAACATGTGCGAATAAATAAGATAAAATATATGGGATTTTTGCTTAACTTCTACTTGCTCCTTTGGCGGAAAAAAGTTGAAAATGTTGAGTTCTTATACAAAGCATAAAAAAATTAAACGATTTCCAACAAATAACAGAGAAAGTTTCCAGTAGTTTTTATTCAGATGATGTATTTAAAATGCAGTTGATATAATCTTCGACCGTTTCGCAATCTTTCAAGGTCGTTCTTAGAATTATTAGTTTTGGATTTTACATGATTATACCATTGGAAATTAAAAGTTTCTTTCAGCTCAGTTTTCGAACAATACACAAACCTTTTTGCAACGTTGTTATTTTATTCGATATGTTATTAAGCCATTAAGAACGACCTTCAGAGATCTCTCATGAATAGTATTATTTTGTACTGTTGAAGCGTATGCTGACGCTGACGCCATTGCGAACGATTGTTTTTGCAGATGGGTGCATCCATAACCACAAATAGAATCTTATTCAGTATGGCTAAGTTTAAGAACACTGTTAGAGAAAAAAAAGGTCTTTGAAAATGAAAACATGAAGGCGCTCTTTATTGTAATCTCGAACAAACATCGAGCTGCAGCCTTTTTTCTGTATTTAATTTGGGTGGGACGAGAAGCTGAATAACATACTAAATTTTGGGGAGGGAAGGAGACTAGAAAATTGCATGCTTCGAAGATGACTTCCATAACACTTTACATTACATGAACAGATACCGAAGTTTTGTCGCAAAACATTATTATTGATACATCTAGAACTGAAATACGTCTAGAGAACTAAGGAATCAAGTTTAACATAACGGTTATCATGAGTACCCAAGGCAATCCTGAGTTAACATTTGTCGCAATGCTGTGAGGATACGTTAAGTTCTTCAACAATTATATACTATATTTTAATATTTCCTGGAAATCGCGGTTCGTAGATAAAGGCTGAAACTGTGCAACAATAAATACCGAAAATCCCCATGTATCTGACCAATAGTAGAAAAGTTCTTTCGTAGAAAGTAAGAATATCAAAACGTATTACCATCTGATAAAAACAAGAATCAAGTTTCTTGAAAAATAGCACGTACAAACTCTATTTTTGTCACAGCAGCTATATCAGAATAATGAATTATCAGGTGCGCACAATGAATTATCAAGTACGTACCCCCCCCCCCCCAAAAAAAGCATTTAAAAACAGTCTTTACGAGAATGCAATTTGCTGTTTAGCAAATTAAGCAGGATACCATCAACTAACTCAAACAGAGGAAACATATTCTAGTATATTATAATCTAAAGTTGATAATTGGAAAAAAATTCATCCCAACTGCACGCGCATGCCCTTCCTAAAGCTCACAAAACCTATTTTCGCCCCATAGTTTCTAACTGGACTATTTTGTATCGTTTTCCTAAATAAAACGCAATTCTCTCTATGATGATAACATAGGCTTCCAGAAAATTGTTGTCTTATGTTCAGGGGGTCACTGTGTACAATCTATCAGGTTTGTCGAAACAAGAGGATCGAAAATATGCAATGCCCTCCCCGAGACTCAAACTGCAGACTTTCCGATTGCTGGTTGGAAGTGTTTTTAAATCACACAATGAAGACGCACCGTAAGGAAAGCAAAAATACCTTACAAATTTAGTGAAGTAATATACAATACTTTTTAATTGTGTTTTTAAAAATACTGGTTATTTTCATAAGTTCATAAGAAGTTTCACTGTATATTATCACTAGAGTTTTTTCGACTACATTTAAACTATAATCGATTTGTAAAAAAGGTCCATAAGCTAATATCTATTTTACAGTGCAGTTCTAAAAATTGTTTCCCTTTACATTAACAAATTTATTAGTGAGCGATTTCTCCTTACACTTCAAGTCTGATCTATTTTGAAGTTAAACCTATAGTTCTCTTAGCATCGAAAGGGCACTAAAATCTTTAAACTGGACTTCAAGAATTTCATTTCCTTTGAGTTGAATTTTATTTATTATAGTCATAAGATTTGACATTTTGTATCGAATATGACGTTAAAGTACATAGATTATTTATGTTTTTTTTAATTTATTTTTTACCAGAAAACGTGAGAAATCAGTTGCACCTTTTCTGGGAACTATGAGCCTTCCAGCTGCAAGCTGGATGACCTAATTATTTATGTCAAAAGAACTGAAACGGAGGAATGCTGCAATTACTAAGAAGTACAATTGACACAGACAGATTTCTATATACAGTACGCTGATTTATGCTATAAGAAATACTAATCACTAAGCTGGTCACAGAACATATTTTACTAAATGTGTTAACATGTAAGTTATAGTACTGTAGCTGTGTTTGCACAAATTTACATCACGGAAAAAAGAATCTTCAGTTTATGCCTCAAACTAATAGTATCACTGCAGTATCGTAATAAATAGTGAATTAAGTTTCTATTATGTTTACAATCGGATAACATTTTAAGCAAGAATTATTTACTGAGGATAATCGGATTGAGTATTTAGTTTCGATAACATAAGCTAAACAGATCTTTTAGGATTAAAACCTGTCATCCAAAACCGCGATGTAGATACTTGACAAGGATAATACAAAAAAATGACTCATTTTTTCTGCTTAAACAGCCTTATCTAATGTCTTTTAAATGACCTCAAATAGCCATGTTGCGTGCTGAATGTAATAGTATTTAAAACGCAGTCGAATAATGAGTCAGTGTATACAAGCGAATATAAAACTGCCAAGAAAAGTCATAATTTCTTTACATTGTTCTACCTTTTCTTATATTAAGAAAGCGTCTATTCCTTTTAGTTTTTTTCGTTATATTTGGTTTATTGTTGTGCCTTACATGGAAAACAAACCTAATAAAGGAAGTATGTATTCGAAATTCATCTGTATTTACATATTTAAATTAACGTAATTAAATACAATACTCAACACATTACTTTAATCATAAGGAATCGAAATTAATTTTTGAATGGAAACGGAATAGTAATTTTCAGTGTTTTAGTGTAGTACAGAGCTAACTGCTATATAAAAATGTAAAATTTAAGGGCAATAATTTACATTGAAAACTTAAACTAACTGGCACTACAGTTTGAAATTACATTATAAAACACTCTGAATGATCTCATAGCTGATTTCTCCTGTTTCTCTCTTCCAGAAAAAAACCTAATGATTATACAATTTACGCTTAAGCTGCACTCTGATGATCATCGACAAAACAATAGAAATTGATAAAAATAATTGGCAAAGAATTAAAAAAAACAAAAAAATTCTATTTATAAAATAAACTTTATAAATTGGCAACATTTTTCCATACTCACAAGAATCTTGTCCTTCAACAACAACTTTCCAGCCTTCTCCAGTATTCAACAAAGACTTGCAGTTTTTTGGCACATAGGTCCAAGACAGGGGTCTCTGAAGCAACTGAGGATCCTGGGTGACCAAGGAAGTTTTGATATCCACCGGAGATTGCATTTTGCCTCCAGCATGCGGGTAGGTTTTACTCCAATGATTTGGCCCTGAAGGAAAGAAAAGGAGATTAGTTACTCAAAAGATATTCGTTTTATTACTTATTGAATTATGACAAAGTACGCCGATTCTTATTGAATTATGGCAAAGTAGGCCTATGCTCAAGCAGAGGGATGCTTTTTAAGGGAAACTGCCCTCTATTTACATTACACGTGGGGAAAAATTTAAGAAAATTAAATCATAAAATGAAATTCAAGAAAAAACTGCTGAAGAAATTTGCACATTACGCAGCGAAATTCTAGTGGGTTTCTTCACAAGCTTGTTTGACGCAACAAAGGTAAATTTCACGCAGTCTCCTATTATTTCAAATATAATTATTATTGTAATACATCTGTTATACACTTACAATAATAATTTATGATAAATAAAGTATAATTTACAATTACTTTACAAAAAAGATAATTTAAAGTGTTTCATTTACTACATGATTGTTGTTGAAAATTTATTAATGATTAATGATTTAACTTTCCGTAGTTATGAAGCAGAAATGAAGTACGTCAAATAATAATGTTCCTACATATTTATAACAGCTATTTTCAAACATATATTATACACATATATACTTAATACATAACTTTTATTATCCTGTTTTTTTCTTAAATGGTGTTTTTAAAAAGAATAGAAAATTTTAAAACTTGTTCTCATAACTTTCGATTTTTACGTTTAGTTAATTAATTATTACCAAAACTAATTTGCAAATTTAAAAAACTGAAGCTGAAGTACCTTATAATATATTCTTTACGGTTAACATAATAACCATTTTTATCAGGAAATAATTTCACCGTTAGGTGATAAATATCTTGGAGATCAAACGAGATAAATAGCTTTTAACGATTTAATTGATGTAAAAAGTATTTTGTGCTGTTTTTAAAATCTTTGCTCTCTGGGATGGCAGTCCTTCAGCTCTTTTTTTCCCTCCTAAATATACAACTTATATATATACTTATCCTAAATATACAACAACTCCTAAATATAAACTTCTTTTTGAATGCTATTCTTGTATGTAGTTACTTTTTACATAAAGTTAAAAATAATGTTATTAATTTTACGTGAAAGGTAATTCCGACCGAGCGAATATGGGGACATTAGTGCATTACGCTTTTTCTTTCCTGTAAAAATATTTCTGCGTGATCACATACAGGCATTATATTTTATTGCATTACCTTCGAAACTAAAAATTTTAATTATTTAATGCACAGCTTCGATTTAAAAATAAGTTGTAATTAATTAGCAAAGATTTAAACCAGGAACAGTACAATTTTATGTATGAGAAAATAAATATATTCCTAACATCTATGCAAAGCATACATTCATTTTCCTACCTAAAAATTAAACTTATTTGCAGAAAAATTCGTCAAGAATACTTGTTAACACTACATTTCCTACATAATAATAACATATTACCTAAACTATTCTTGCTTTCATTTGAAATAAATCGCTGGAACTACATAAAAATAATTCTTAAATCTATTTTTTTATTTTGTTTTTGGTAATCGAGTAAATAGTTTAAAATTGAGATTAGTTGTAAACTAATTGTTAATTCGGAGACTAGAAACATTTTACACTTACTGAACTTACAATTACAGCAGTCTAAATGGAAATACACATCTCATATGCAAAATTTCAGCATTCATATTTGGAATAAAACTTATCATCAAGCATTCTAGAAAAAAGATCTTTTAAATATTTCTAAATACCTTGCATTGATATATGTCCATCTTAGGAAATATACGTCTGACATTATCATTTGATGGCTGATAAGGGCCATACATCAACAATTTTCGAATTTGAGAGATTATCTAAAATTTTATGATTCCGAAGTCTAAAAATCTTCCGAAAGTACTTAGACCTTCGTCTGAAAAAACAGAATTAAAACAATCTCCCTTCTATCTAAGAAAATCAGTTACTCTAATAAGGGATTATTCTATACACACATTTCTTTTTTACCCTAATTTTCTGAGATTTTCCGAGGAGGGAGGGAATAACAAATAAAAAATAAATAAAATCTGAAAGGTGTCATTGCGGCCAAAGGATCTTTTTCTAACGTTTTGTGTGTTTATTATTTTTATTGAATATCATGTTCTTCGCCCTTAAACCACATAAGCTCTGTTAATTCAACAACAATATCCCCAAATATTTAAAAACAATCTTTAGAATTTCCGATACACAGTCTCGCGCGATGGAGATAAAAATTTTATTTTCTATAGAGTGTTGCCATTGCTCGCTTTTAAATCGTTGAGTTTGTTAATCAAAAATTCGTTAAAATTTTACAAAATATGAAATAGATTATAAGATAAATTCGAAATTCCGGCGTCCAGGTGTCCATGTTTGGGTGGAGGGTTACATTATTCAAAATTTGATGGCTCTAGTTACCGTCGTTTTTCTCATTGCGAAAAACATACAAACATTCATGCAGATTCTTCATTATTTAATTTCTTTAAATATAATACAGGGCAATAATATGTGGTAAGTAAAACGTGAAACGGACATACATAGTGAATATATATTTATTTCGAAACTACCCCCCTTTAGGCTGGAGGGGGGAACCACACACAGTTTTGTGACTCGTAGATTCTGAAGAATGAGTTAACGAAATTTCGAATTAGTCCATCGCTTTTAGTTTCGAAACCAAATTTGAGTAATGTGTAAAGTGCCAAGTCATATTTATTACCTTTCTGTTTTCGCGACGCAATACTAAACTATACAACTTCTTGTCATTAAAAAAAAAAGTAAAGACCCATTTTCTGAGTAGCAGAACTCCTAATTGGTACAAATACAAGCAAATGTTAAACTAATGCATCCCAAATTTCAAAGAAAAATGTTTGAAATCTGAAAACAAGAAATTTTTGAAGACAATTCGATATAACTTAGAAGGAGCAGTGATAAAAACAATAATACTAAAATAACAAACTTTCATGATAACAAAAGATTGACACTCATTTCTCCTTGGCATGTTTTTCAACAAATTAACTACTTAATTATGCGGGATCTTCAGCTGCATGTTTTCTTTATTTTTAAATATTTAATTATTTTAATTAAAAATTTTTATATCACTTTCAATCGTCCATTGGCTACCGACGCAGAGTGAATGAAAGTTTATAATCAGTCACGCTGGTCAACAGTGTCACAAGTCAGTTTTGTCACAGGCACAGGATAAAGTTTATTTTCTTTATATTAATGTACATCGATTCTGATATAAATTTTGTTGTTATTAGAATTTTTGAATTTCTTGTTGACGTTGAGAAGTTTAATTAACTAGTTGGTTATCATTATTTTGGCTGCTCTCCACTTCCATCAATTTCTACCAGAATGCAAATCTATTTAAAGTATAAATAAGAGTTAGTTTCAAGGTTCACTGAACAGCGTTTGGCAGTTTAGCTTAACTATTTACCCATTCGTGTATTTTTGCCATTCGTATGAGCTTGTCAGCAAAAGCTTCCATGCTGTGATTCTCCGCTAGTGATTATTTAGAGGAAGCCATGGTTTATGTTAAGCTTTGCTGAGATTATGAATTATATTCGGCTTTTATGTTGAGAAGCTATTATTCTCTCCATAAGTTAGCGGAGTTTTGCTTCTGTTAATTTCAGTTTGTGTAACCGTTAATGACCACCAGTTATATGTTGATGAATATTTTTATTTTAGATATTATCTCTCTTGAGATATTTATATCTAGGAAGTCAGACAGGATTAAAATTCGTCCAAAAGTCTTTTACGATTACTTTGGCAAATTGGTACTTTGGTAAACGTGTAATGTCACTTGATAGTATGTAAAAGCTTCCTAAAAATGTGTGAATACATAGAAGTCTAAAGAAAAATGGAGAAATGTTTCTGATTCTTACTTGTGATCTTTTCCATACTTTCGGGTCTTGCATACGCCTCTTATTGCAGAAGATTTCCTTCTTTAACGCGCCTACAAATTATACTTCCATAAAATCGTTAATCGTATGTCACGAAATTTTGTAACGCAAGATAAAATTTCCTGTTATATGTAATAATTCAGCAGCAGAAGATGCTGTCAGATTCTCATATTTTGTGTTTCCATTTCTGAATAACGCACGCAGCAAAGTTTTCCACTTTAATGCACTTCGTTTTTTCAAATAAGCTTCTCAGTTTAAATTTATCATCTAATATTCAGTCTCAGTTTATCAATTTTAAAGAGTATAATGGGTAATTGTGTTTTCAAATCGCGTATTAGTTATTTTATTTCATGTAATTGTATACGGTAGTAGTCAGTATCGCTTTAACGAAGTCCCAGAATCCCGCTAAAAACTTTGCTAAAGACAGGGATTCTCAAAATGAAAGCTATGATAAAACACGATCGTGTTTTATCATAACAAAATTTTAAATGTGAAAGAGCATTAAAATTAAATATGCAAAATTACATATGTTAATGTATCCATTCTATTAAAATTACATATGAAATTTACACAAATTCATTTCAAAAAGTAACCAGCTACTTTAGTTTGTTTTGATTGCCGGAAACATTTCATGATATAATAAGGTCTCAAATTTTTTTAATGCACGGAAAACTTGCTCTAATACACTTTCTTCTTTAAAACTGCGTCGTAAGGTATCAAACTCATTTAACGTATTTTCTAGCGAATATTTTGTACATTCATTTCCATTAATGTTTTCATTTTCTTCATCAAGATCAATCGCTTTCTATATTTTATACTTTCCAACATGTCGTCTTCAGTAGGAATTTCTGAGGGATCAACATCGTTATCCATCGTTAACTATAAATAACTAATCTTGTAATTGTTTATTATTCTTTAATTGTCTTTAATTTTTCAACTGCAGCCGTATACTATTCAGTTCCTGCTCTTGCTCATCGGCAACGTTGACACTACTATTATAAGTAGTGCCGATTTTGGTGGTTGCTTTTCTGAAGCAGTTGGGAACAGTTTTTGTTAGAAACATCATAATTTCATACTTTTGCAAGTTCAGATATAATGTTACGTAAACTTACTATAAAAAAAGGCCGATTACT